ATATATATATAATCCATCCATTCAGATTTTTGCCTTTTATTATATAAACAGGTAAACTGAACTATAGATGAAATAAATTGAATGAGAAATCTTAAAAGTTAACATTCTAGTATCCTTTTCTGACCATGCTCTTCAGGTAACTCATTAACTGTGTTATGATAGCTGCCATCCTGCAGAGGGCACTGTAACTAAAGTCAGTCTCCGTTGTTATATAAAACCTTTTGCCTAAGTCCTCTTACTCCTTACATTTTTTATTTACATCAGAAAGAATCAAAGAAGCCAATGAAACTATTTTAACAAGAGTAAAATAATGTGCAGCAATGTCAGTTTGTGCCCATTGAAGACCAGTTTCCTGCTTCAAGCACATATACACATGATTGAAAACAAAATATCCCACTAAAATCCCTAAGAAGAAAGATGGCATTCAACATAGTTGAGAAAACTTGCAAGCATAGCAACCAAACCACAGTATTTCTTCATATATAGAGGAAGAATGTTATGAGAGTTTAATCCATCATTGGTTCTTAGTCCATGATCTATGAATGGATTTTAGAGTATCTATTAACACTTTAAAATTTTACATATACTTTTTTTGCATATATACAAATGTGCATTTTTATGAAGAAGAGGTCTATTATAATCGTCAGTAGATTATCAGGGAAGTCCCAGACTGTAAAAATGGTTGCAAAAGGGAAGAGTGGAGTAAGTCAAAGGAAGAGTGGAGTAAGTCAAAGTCTAAGAACCCTGGTCTGTGTTGTGAGTAAAGCATACCAATCATTTTGGGGCATGCACACGGGTAAGGTAATTATTATTTTGGGGGCAATAAATGAACTACTAACATTTGTTGAACTGTCACCAAAAGCCAGGTACTGAACTGAGTAGTTTAAATGTAATACTTTATTCATTTATTAAAACCACATCCCTAAGAGTTAGGTAGTAGTCTCAGCATTTTACAGATGAGGGGCAGTAGCTATGATAGGAAGATCTAGGCTAAAACTGGGTCCTATCATTGAGTAGCTATATGACCTTGTCTGAGTTACTTACATCTGTCCTCATCTGTAAAATGGGACTAGTAAAGCCTACCTTATAGCAATCTTGTGAGGATTAAAGAGTTTTTATTTAGAAAAAGATTAGTATGATGGGTGGCTTGCTCAAGTTAGATACTCAATAAATGTTGGTAATGAGGAACAAATTCAGAAAGGTTAAAAAACTTTCCTCAGAATAAAAAAATTGAAGTGGTAGAACTTACTTTATAAGTTTAATGCCAATCCAAGATGGCCATATCAAATATTCAAATCTAAGAAATCATCATGGACAAAGATAGAGGAGCTAGGTCTCAGAAAAGGTTAGGGGTGGTTTAGGACAGCACCATTCAACTGAGAGTGAAGCCCTAAGTCTCTAAGGCAGGGGTGGGAACCTTTTTTCTTCCAAGACCAATTGGATATTTATAACATCATTTGCAGGGCGTACAAAATTATCAACTTAAAAATTAGCCTGCTCCAGTGTGGCTCGGGTGGTTGGGTGTCATCTCATGCACAGAAAGGTTGCCAGTTCCATTCCCAGTCAGGGCACATGCCTGGGTTGCAGGCTTGAACCCCAAAGGTGGCCAATTGCTCTCATATCAGTTTCTCTCTCTCTCTCCCTCTAAAAATCAATAAAAAGATCTTTTTTTTAAAAAGCCTGCTATATTTGGTCAAGCATTTAAATAACTCACCCCTCCCTAGTGCCTTGGCACGGCCAGACCAAATGATTTTGTGGGCCTTATAGGACTGGTGGGCCAGACGTTCCCCAACCCTACAGTCCAAGGCATACGTTGTACATAATGAATTAGTTTATTTCCTATGTACCTAGAAGGTACTAGGTTGAGGTAGAATTTTTAAAAGCTCATGAGTACCATGCTAAAACGTAGTTCTTAGCCATAAAAGCCTAGTTTGAGAGTAGGGGAAATGGGTAATTATATATTTGAAGACATGGCTGCTTGGTAAATATAGCACTTAGGACCATAAATGTAATCTAGGACTATAAGAAATATATGAATCCATACAAGTATAGATAGATTTATTTAAAATGTGTTCAGTTTTAAGTTTACCTTCCATCAGTATAAGGCTACGAAATGCTTTTATATCAAGTAGTTGAGAAATTCTAGGTAACAGAGATTACCAAAAAAATATTCTATTCATTAAGTTAGAAAATCTCTGAAAAAAATGCATTGGCCCTTATCGTTTTATTTGCTTTTATAGGACCTAAGGAAAGCTGGATTGCTGATTTTTGCTAATAAACAAGATGTTAAAGAATGCATGACTGTAGCAGAAATCTCCCAGTTTTTGAAACTAACTTCTATTAAAGATCACCAGTGGCATATCCAGGCATGCTGTGCTCTTACTGGCGAGGGGTAAGAAGTCTTCCCCATGGATAACGTGTCTTTAGTTTAGGAATATGAATTTCTTCCTAAAATCCAATTTTGAGGTTACCATGTACAGATTGTTCTAAGGAAGAGATGTAAGACATAGTCCATGTCTATAGTGAGTTTTTAACTTGGTTCTGTAAAGAATAAAGCACAACATACACATACACATACTGAACTAATATATGCACATAGTTACAGTTGCTGTAGGAGTTCAGAGACATTAGAATGTCAAGGGGAGCTGGACAAGTCGGGAAACAGTTCTTATTGGTGGTGGGACTTTTGCTATAAGAAAGGAACTAACACTTGCTAAGCCTGTTCTATGTCTTGAGTGTTCCTTCCAGTGTATCATTTATTCCTAACAGTCATGTAGACCAGTTGTTTTAAATTCACACTTTATGCATAAAGAAGTTGAATTAGACTAGTTTGGGTGTATTCACTTTTGCCACCACTGTTGTCAAGAGGGAGTTGTTGCAATTTAAAAAAAAAAAGTGTTAGAATTAGAGAGAGTGTGGCACGAGGGTTCCTGGTTCTGGAAAGGAGGGTGGGTGCCTATAGTAGAATTTTGCCCTAGTCTAGTGTCGTGTAAGACTCCCTCCACGTTCTGCGTGGAGTAGGGTTCGGTATCTGAAAGAGGGGCCGCACACAAATGAGAGAGAAATGACACGAGATAATTTTGAAATATTGGGGGACCAGGCGGGCAAGTTCCGAAGGACTTCCACCTATGCTCAGGCCGCTCCAATCTTTTATTGAGTTTGGAGTAGCCTTAGGTAAGGAGATTTCAATGACACACAGATCAGCAGACAGTTTCTGGGAATAGACAGTATCTGATTAGCTCATCGGTAGTAGACAATTTCTAAGAATAGGCAGGGTATCTGATCAACAATAATCAACAAGGATCTACACAAATATCTAAGGAATTCAGTGAGCTAAGGTGGGGATAATGCTTTAGCTACCATTATCTAGATTAACTGGGTGGTGTCTAAATTAACTGGGTGGTGCACAGCCCTGACCTTTGCTAGGACTTTCAAAGGTTACTAGTTTTGGGGGGGTCTCTGTCTATATTCAGTTAGTGAAGACAATAAATAGTCTCCGGCAGTCTAGTGCCCAGAAGTGAGAGGATTTCAAAAATGAAGTGGTTGTCAGCATTGTTAAATATAACGTCAATGACCAGAAAGATGGAGAGTCCTATTAGGAGAGATGGAATAGAGGAGGTTAGAAATAGGATAAAAGGCTAAAAGGCTGAGCAAATGAAATAATACTTTTGTTGTAGTTGTTTTTCTAAAATGTGGTAGATCTATATATATTTAAAAGCAGAAAAAAAAAGAATTAAATTGGAGATGAAGGATTCTAGAGTCTTAAATTTGGGTTCTTCAAGTTGTGATTCTTCAGCTGTTAAGAAAGGGTAAAAGCTTGGGGCACAGATAGTTTCAGTAAGTCATTATATGGCTTTAACTATCATCATGGTTTTGAAAGGAAGGGAATTTCTCCCACTTCAGCTAATTCATCTATTTATGCCCCAAGCTTCTGCCCTTTCCTAATACCAGAAGAAGAACCTTAACCCCAAATTAAGACCTCTCTTTAGAATCTGTTATGTATGTACCTTTTAAAAACAAAGAAAAATAATTAAATTGAAGATGAAGTTGAATCTTAGTGACATAGAAGGCACTGTTATCTAATTACAGACATTTAGAGAGCTTAATTAGAACCTCAAAAAAGCAAATCTGTTCATTTAAAGAAAAATTCATAGATAATACCAACTCTCCACATTTTCATTTAAGTAAAAATGTTACATGTTTCTGTCAAATAGTTTAATACATGTCGAGATACCTGTAGATATATCTTTTTCTATGGAAGGACTTTAAGCAAAAGCACTAATGTAATACTAAATTTGACCACAAAGACAAATCGTCTAGGAATTATCTAATACTTAGCTTATATACTTTGAGAAATTGTGTAGAAAATATATCATTAGTTAGGATGGATATGAACTCTGGCAGATTCATTTCTGAAAGAGGAACTAGGTAGCTGGTGGTATCTTTTCAATTCTTGGTGTATGAGGGCCTCCATTTGCAGCAGTCACAAGTGGAAGTGTTTGGTTTTGGAGGAGATGTTTCCCTATTGTGGTCTGGCTGCCTTGGTCTGAATTTTTGGTTTTAGTGTTGGTCAGACTTGACTCTTATCTCTGCCATTTGCTAACCTCTCCAAGCCCAGGTTTCCTCTAATATGGGAAGGGTTCTGATCTCACTGTTGTAAAGAAATATTAAGATAATGGATATTAAGTGCTTAGCACAGTCTGGGCCAACACTGAAGCAATCATTTATTTACCTCATTGCCTTTTTTTTCTATTTCTATCTTCTTTTATATTGTTAGACTCATACTTACACAAAAATCTGAGTTTTCAGTTTCTCATGTCTGTAAAAGCTCCTGATAGACAATGGTTAATGCTTCATAACAGTTTATTTTGTTGTAACATATGTACAGTCATTTTTCTCTTGCTAAACATTTTGTTTACCACAATGAACATCTCTTTATAGTATTTTGGATTATGCTCAGTTACCCTTTATTCAGTGATAACTGGTATTAGTGATAAGAGATTTTACTTCCTTCAAAAAATGTAAATATATAGATGTAGCAGACATATTATGTATGTACTCTGTTTTAACAGCTCTACTATATATTTAATATCCTGCAATTTTACTTCATTTAAATAATGAGCATTTTATCATATTGTAAAGTAGTTTTTGAAAGGAGTTTTTAATATCATATGAATGGTCCATAATTTGTTAAATTTTTCTCTATTTCTAGACATTTAAATTCTTTTTCCTATTAAAAATGTTTTGATAAACAGTCTTATACATAAATCTGTCTTTATGTCTTATTTTTTTAGGATGTATTTCTTGAAATAGAAAAGAGGATAGAGAGGGTATTGATATTTTAAATACTCTTGAATATGTATAGCTAAATTACTTTCCATGGGCATTTATATAATCACGGAGCTTTTATATGTCAGGCAGTGTTCTAGGCACTAAAAACAAAACAAATGAGAAAGCACGGATGTACTGTGTCTTGAGAGTATGGCTTCACCACACAGCACCAACATGGAACAGTATTGATTTTTTAACCTTGGTTGTTTAGGTAAATGAAAAAATGACACCTTGTTTTAGTTTGCTATTTATAGCTTCTTAGTTGAGAATTTGATCAGATTATTCTATTTTCTGTATAGATTATGCCAAGGACTGGAATGGATGATGTCACGACTTAAACTTAGATGATCTCTACTGACTTCTTCTCATAGACTTTATATAAACGAAGTGCTGGACTTTACCTGAAAGCTCCAAAAATTAATGGTTCAGATATATTTATAGTAAACTGATTTAAACTTTTTCTATAAGAAGAAAAATTAAGACCACTTATTTGAAAGCGAAGATGAAGCCTCACCTTCCAATCGCTTTCTCATTAGTTTCTTCCAAAGCCAGGTCTTAAAGCTGTGATTGACATTTTTCTCCTAATGAATCCTCTCAAGACATTGTGTAGCCTGTGGTAAGTACAAAAGGAGAGGAAGACATTTTTTAAAACTTTAAGAGCTTTATTATCAGTATAACCCTCTTTTGTTAAATGTTCTCTTTTTGTTCCATTAAGTCAAAATATAAATCAGCACAGATATTCAGTTTCTGGTATTTTAAAATGTAATGTTACTTATGAAAAGTATTTTGCATTTGTGTATGTATTGTGTATATACCTCAACCTCAAGTTAATGGCTTTGATTTATGTTCTAAAGAAAAGTGAATAACAAAAATTAATAATATTCTTAATTATAACAATAATGAAATGAATACTGGCATTGGTTTAAGTGCCAATTTGTACTTTTCCCCTATGCTCTCTGCATTGTACTAATCAACCCCCAAAATCATTGAGCTGCTCTTTAAAAAAAGAAAGAAAAAAAGTTTGACATTGGATACCTATGTTTTGTTGTTCAAATCACATACATACAAACATGTAATCCAATGAGTGGAATATCTATCAAGTTCTTAGAATTACTAATGGGCACAATTGCACATTGAGCAGTTATCTGATTGTTCCCTTTATGAGACCGTATGCCATCTAAATTACTGAGTAAATTGTTAATCCATTAATCAATTATTAACTGTGATTAAAATTACCAACTGATTTTCAGCATTAATGGAAAACTGTTGTGTGAAATGTCTATCCAGAGAAGTGTCACCTTATAAATATTATCAAATAATTTAGCTAGATTCTTCTTAAGTATTAAATTATTTGTCAAGCATTTAAAGTGAATTTGAAATGAAAAGTAAAGCATATTTTCCAAGCAACAAAGATAATTTATTAATTTGAACATTTTTAATTCTTAACTTCTGAAATAGTTGGAGATTTTTTATTTCTATGTTTTCTTTTATCTTCTTATAACACGTGAATGTATTGTTTGGCAAGTATAAAATACAATTTTTTTTAGTGCTTTTAAGAATTTGTTTTAAAAATTGATCAACATAATGCATTATTTTTTCTAAGAAATAACTTGCCCCAAAACACCTTCTATGTTCGTGTAGGTTTTTGTTTTTTTTTCAATATCTGAAAAGTCACAGGTATTTCTGTTGTATCTGTAAACACTTACCTAACTAAATGTGTTCAGATATATTCTTGAATACGCAGTCCCTGAAAATCTGAACAGTAATCCAAGCTGGCATGTTTTAGAATATTCAAGAAAAAAATAATTCCTTTTAATACCAGCCTTTTAGATTTTGTGAAGATTTTGATGAGGGATAAACGTATATACTGTAAGCATTGACAAAACTTTAAAAGTTCCTTTCTACAGAATTAAAATGCTCACTATCTAAGTTCAACTCGGGCATAGGAGATGATCAGTGTTTAATGTTGGATGTTTTGTGTTTTATATTTATATTATAATGTTCAAAATGCAAGTATAATATTTTATTATTTGTCAACTTTTACAAAAGTAAATTCTAAATTACTAAGCTTTATTTGTTCATATGTTCTCATACTTTTTTCAAATAACTATAAGGAATTACTTGTTATATATTAAAAACTCCTTTAAAACCCAAATATATATTGTAGGTATTGCAGTTTCATCAGAGAAAAATATTCTATACAGTAACCCAACAAATCCACACCTTTTATCCTTTTTATTTATTTTTTTGTTTGTTTTTTGTTAATTCTCCCCCAAGGATATTTTTTCCATTGATTTTTAGGGAGAGTAGGAGAGGGAAAGACAGAGAGAACCATCAGTGTAAGAGAAACACATTGATTGGTTGCCTCCTGCCTGGGCCCTGACCCGGGCCTGGGCTGGGGAGGAACCTACAACCAAGTACCCGCCCTTGATCAGAACCGAACCTGGGACCCTTCAGTCCGCTGGCTGATGCTCCATCCACTGAGCTAGGGCTATCCTTTTTATTTTTTAATGTGAAAAACCACGTTCACTCTCTTGGATTGCAGCCACATCAGTTCAACAATATACCAGCACATTCCCTTGTCATCAAGGTGTTGGCTAAAATTTATTCTAATGGGGTGTTTAAAGCATACACTACATTGTTGCAGATGGTTTAGTGTAATAGATTATTGACATGGCATCATGAGAATGCATGAAATCTTATACCACATTTGCAAAACATGATTTTTTGTTATGTTATACTATTCTAGGCTAAGCATTGGAAATGTGTTACCTATATATTTGTGCATAAAACCAAAATTAAAATTCATATGTGAAAATGCATCAAAATCATTTTAACTGTTAATTCTAAGATGGAGAGCATATTGGCAGTTTATATGTAGTTTAAGTGGACTTAAGCAAAGGGCAATACGCTACTCTTGGCTATAAACAAACATTTTATTTTGTGCTCAACTTTGAAAAGAACAAAGCTTCATACCTCAGTACATGTGGCTGGATTTAAATATCCCATGTTTGCTACTAATTTTGAAAGTCATATGACTTCTCTTGATATCTTGGTACAGTAGCCATATGGTATAAGCATTTAAATAAGTTAAATTTTGCCATACTAGCATTTATAAAATATATCTTACACAGTATATTGAGTTGTTTGAAATTTTCAGTTCTATCTTCTTTGGCTCTCACAGTGGGCAAAGAATACAATGAAGGCAGGTAATTTGGGGACCAGGGGGAAGTTGGTAGGGAATATGACATTTTGCCTTAAGAATAAAAAAATGCCAGTCAACTTTAGCACTGTTGACTGGCATTTTTAATGCAGGTAAAGTGATTTTTAGAAGTGTAGCACGCAATAGAAGAGTTTCTGGTCTTTAAAAAGTGCCTCATAGGTGGTTACAGTGATATCACAGAGGAGAGTCAGGAAGTCCCTGAGATATTCTTTTCACTTTTTGTCTGAGTGTATAGTATTAAGATGCCTAGAGGTGGGATTCTATTATACCCTCTGTTACAGGCACTTTACATTTATTGCTGTGACTACAGCAACCACATACAGTGCAGACAACCTCGAAATCTGTTTATATTAGTGTAAATAGAAAAACTGTAGGCAATTTTCTAGTTTTCTCTGCAGGCATTTTTGGGAATATATCTGTAGTACGTTCTGCTTTGTATATAGGGGACAGCAGCACATCCCAGATTATCTGTGGGCTTTGGGGTCATTGTCTCTCAGTTGCCCAGTTGTATTTTGGCATCGATCCATCTTTCACAGCTGGGTAGAGACAGGTTTCTTTGCATGACTTAACTTTGATCCCTCCCACTGTCTAAATATAATCTGGAACTTCTTGCTTCAGGATCAGCTTTCCCACAACTCAGCCATCCCTTGCTCTCCTGTATCTTGATTCACCAACAATGAAGATATGTTATCTGTCCTGGAGGTATTCTAAACTTTCCTGTATCCATTGTTCCCCAAACCACTAGTGTCTAAGTAGGTTCTCTAGTTCTTTGCTATCCTCTCACAACTGGCTTGATTCAGAGATTGGTCTTTGCTCGTTAGAGAGTATTGTCAGACTTGTCAGTATTGTCAGAGCAATACTGGCTTGCTGTGTATTCAGCATACAAATGCCATAGTAGAGTTTTTAAAATTATACCGTATTTAACATTTTAATGCTTCTTAATTTTAGCTTCACATGCTGAAAAGTAGATTCAGAAAGATAAGAGAACTATCTTTCTGACTCTGCCCAGCTCCTTAACCTAAAAAGTTACATATGGAAAGGATTACATGATATGAATATTGTCTTCCCATTACCAAAAATGGGTTCCATTTTGGAGAGTACCAGTACAAATAATTTCAGTTGGGAAAATATGTCAAGCCAAATTTATGGATAGTGTTGAACCTGAAGACATCTTTACATCCATAAAACCACAGGCCACATTCCATTTTTTTCCTTGTGTTTACTTAAAAAAGATAAACATTAGTTGCCTAAAGGAATTAGTAATGAGAAATTTATCTTTACAAAATAAACCTGTTGAAATGGGCTTTAAAATATATAAAAATCATCAACTGTCATGTGCTGACTCTGTGTAGATACAGACATAATATAGAAAACACTTTTTTCAAGTTCTACTTATACACAAATAAAACTTCAGTATCATGCTCCCTCAAAGGATGTGTGATAATTTTAAGATCCTCATAGTGAAGTAAAGAAAGACCATTTTAAAACTTTGGATGCTAAAAAGTAACCGCTTCTATTAAACCCTAAAATTGTGTGTGGGATTGTAAAGAAATTGTACCAGGATTCAGATGGGTTAATTATGCAGTATTTCTTATCAGTTGTCTAGCCCTGTATGTTCTAAAAGCTAAAGCTTCAATCTTTATGGTCTTGCCTGCTAGGTAGTTTTTTGGTAGAAAATCCCCATAGTCTGTACTCAAGTGCCTAACAGTGATTCGTGTTGATTTGTAAGTCCTCTAATAATTGTGGGTGTGTGCTTGGCTTACTGATGACACAGCTCTGAGAGTTTCTGATTCTCAATTTGTGCTTTATTTGAGTAAAAAGCCTTGAAATTAAAAATACCCATCATAACCTTCAACAAACCAGTTAAGGAAACATAAGTGAACCCATTTTTTCTCTTTCCTAATGCAAGTATTTTGTGACCCTGATGTTAGTTAATGTGGGAACTAGAAAACAACTCTATTTCAGTTTTTAAAAATTGTTTAACACACAGAAAATTAAATTGTGTTGTAAAACCTTAGTTAAAGTTGGTTGCTTTTCTAAGAGTAGCCTCTTAATTCTCATATTCAGTGGTTAGCAGTTTTGAGTCATACATATCATTTAGATCTTAAGCCGTATTGTGTGTGGACACCAAAATCCTCCTTCTGTTTAGATTCTACTTAGAAACCAGAGTTTTTGAAGCACCCTTTTATGGTTTTCATACATTGTTTCTATTTCTTTTTTCTTTTCTTTTTTTTTCATTGAGTATGACTGTAAAGTCTAGGGGCAAAGACTTGTCTGTATTTTCAGTGAGTTACAATTACATTGTGTTCATATTTTAAATCATCTTGCATGGAAAATGAAATATGCTTATGATTTTAAATTACTGAAATGTATACTCTTATCTTCCCCCAAACTTCTAACGTCAGCGATATACAGAATTTCTCTAATAATTTTTGCTTGAAACTAGTTCTTTAGATTCAAATAGCCTTTTCTTACATTGTGTTCCTTGAGGTAAGGTGATATCTGCAGAGCACTTTTAAAGATATTTTCTGGGTTAATGTTCAACATAACACATTGTGGGGGAAAGTATAATTATGTCTAGTGAGGGCTCTTTTTGGTTGATAGAGATGAAAAAAATGTATACTAATTTTTATTTGTGCTTAAAATACATTTTACTAATTATATTGATTTTAAATATGACAAATTCTTATAGATATTAATCTTCCTTATTGTATTTTCCTGGTGAAACCTATATGAAAATGTATTCCAGCTAGTCTCTTTGTATAACTGCCCCTGCCCAGTTGAGCTCTATGTATATCAACATAATTGAAATCGCATTTAATACAACAAACAAACTAGAAAACCTTTTGAAAATGTTTAGGTTTGTTTTATTTGAATTTCTAATATGGCAAAAGGTTTTGATTCAAAATTTGTATGAAAGAAGAGGCAGAAAATTTATCTTGTGTCTTTATTATTTTATGAACTTGTATTTCTCTGTGTCCTAGGGAAGATTTTACACTCAGGAATGATGCAAAAAGTGATGCTCTTAGAGCATTTGGGTGCTTTCATGTTTTTTCAGTGCTGATGTGGTAGGTACCTAGGGAGATGATGCTTCAGGGCTTCTTGATAAGACAACTTCCTGAATGGTTGGGGGTATTTATGATTGCGCTCAGGTTGGGAGGGAGTGGTGGATTGGAGTAGGGACCTCTCCATTGGTAAAGCAGTACAATCAATTCTTTGCAAGTGTGTTACTTCATTATACTTCTAACAACATTCTCGGGTTCATAACTTACTGAAATGTTCAACTACGGAAATGTAAGGCATTGGGTCAGGTGACCAGTAGTAGGACCTTGTTCATAATGAAATAAAGGAATGATACCAAGATATATTTGGGGGGAAATGACAAGATTTTACTGGAGAATTTCCATGTTTAATATGTACATTAACTTTTTAAAAAAGTTGCATGTTAACCTGGGATACAGTATTGTCTCTATACTTTACTGAGTAAAAAGAAAAAAGATTTGAGTTAAGTTGTTACTCTGTTATGTACTAGTACATACACCTTTTCTTTTAGAAAGGGCTAATTATAATTACTATTCACACGTCTATGTTGTCAGTGTTTTTATTCTGGTTTATTCTCTGAATGTGTGCATACTTGGCGATGGTAGTTCTGGGATTAGCCAGAGCCATTGTGAAGGTGTGACGGTTGCATTATGCAAATGCAAAAAAGATTGTCCTGGTCTTCTCTAGGAACCTTTTATGGAACGTAGTCAATTAAGAGAGAGCATTCTGCCTTTTACTTCTGGAAATTTGAAGTAGACATGAACTTGCTATACAGTGACCAGGCTGTGTGATTAATTTGTCTTAAAAT